GGCCCATTCTTGTGTTTTGGTAGTGACATAAACAATAAGACTGAGGAGGATTCAGGTAGGATAAATGTGTCTATTCTTCTCACCTAACATCAAATATTGTCATGTATAAAAATATCATGTATAGAAAAAAAAAAGCTGGAATGCTCCTTTCTTGAGAGCAATTGCACAGGAGAGGAGGTGGAGCTGGGTTCACTGACATGCGCTGTTGAGCTAAGCACTGAGGCAGTGCTGGGTAAGCGTTGGTGGCTGGGCAGGGGCTTCAGAGGGGGCCAAGCCCTCTGCTCCTTTGGCTTCAGGCTGATGAAAGCAAGCCGACCATACAAGGGCGAGGGAACTGGAGCTAAAAGGATTCATTCCTCTGCTTCCAGCCTCTAATTGGACCTGCTAAGCACGTACTAATCAAAAGAATAATTTACTTAATTGCATGAAGCCATCCTGCGAGCTAACTTAGCACAACTGTTGTCCATTAGCCAGCCTGGCTTCCTGGGGCAGCAGTGATGAGCTGCTAAAAGCTCACTGTGGGATGGGCTGATGCATGCGGTCACTTATGCAGGGGTCACCAACATGGGGACCACAGGTCACACCTGCTTGTGACTCAGGAGCTAATGAGTTTTGAATTTTAAAACAGTTGAAAATAATCCAAGAAAGAACCTTATTTTATGGCACATGACTATTACACAAAATTCAAGTCTCAGTATCCTTCAGGTTTTCTAGGTTGACTGTTACCTTCACCTGCATCAAGCACATGGTCAGCCCCACCCTGCTGGTAGTGCCCCTCGAGCCCACTCTGCTTGCTCTCTGGCCCTGGACAGGACAGTCAGCTGAGCCCGGACACACAGTGGGGCTAGGGCAAGGGCCATGTAACAGCAGCCCCAGCAGCTCAGGCTAAGCGCACTCAGGGCAATTCCCATGGACAAGGTTATCTTAGTACCTAGGGCTATGGCACAGTTTTTTGGGAGAACACTTGCTTAGCATATGTGAAGCCCCTCCTGGGTTACACCCCCGGTGTTGCAAATTGAAAACAAAATAAAACAAAACAAGCTTACCCTTATAATCAAGTCTAAAAAAAAACCAAAACAAAACAAAACAAAACAAAAAAAAAACTGCTCGAAGATTAGTTTTCAAAATTGCCTAAGAGTCATATAAGATGCAGCTCAGAACTCAGTGAAGCCTCCTTTGGTCTGGGGAAATTTGCCTTAGAAGATGGAGACGCCTGTTTCTTCACTGATTCAGTCACACTCTTCCTAAGGTGTGACCTGCCTGAGAACCCAGTGGCCTGGGCTGGTGTCTCTCTGAACCCCTCATGAACACCAGGCTGAGAAAGCCACAGAGTGCAGTAGGTGTCATTTCCCGAAATCAACCAGGGTTCCTGAGCTCTTTCGTATTAGGGTTCCATTTGGCAGCCTATGTATGACCTTCGCTCCATATTTTTTCTGAAGGCAGTGGCTAAGACAGAACCCCAAAGAAGACCGAGGTCCTGCTCCCCTCATAGTTGGGCAGAGCAGGCTCTGTGTCCCACCCTCCCAGAGTCTATCAGGCAGCCTGTGTCTGGAGGGAACTAGAAAAAACAGGGTCTCCCTTAGCTCACTCTCCCAAAGCTCAGAGTGCAGGGCATTACAGACTTCTGTGATTTCTTTGGCTACAACACATAAAGGTAGGGCCTCATCATCAGAGCTCCTTTTAAGAAACAGGAGAGACATGTCATGAGTAGATGAATAAAATGAGCCTCTCAATTAAGTCTGTGGATTATCATGGCAGCAGAAAACATAGAGAAGAAGAAATCACCCAAAAAGGACATTATTTAGTTTGTCCCCCCAGAGTCCGAGATAGCATGTGAGGCCTGCATTTGTTTTTTGGGTCACAGAACAAAGGAGAACCACTTCATGGAGTGAGGTGCTTTTTAGAACCTTGGTGGAGCTCTAGGTAAGAGACATTTGGATCAGGAATTAGACCTTGAAGATCTTTTCCTATCCTAGCAGAGAGCTGTTGATCTTTTACAGCACAGTAGGTCAGCAACAGGGCAGCCTATAGGTGACTCCAGGGACTAGGGCCGGGTACGGTCCTGGGGCTGCGGCTCATGACCTTAGCTGGGCGGGGCCGCTGTACCAACTGCAAACACTCAGTGGTCCCACTGCCCTGCGTTCCTGAGGTTATCACAGCTCTGCGCCTGACTCCACAAAGGCACCTCATTACTACCATAGACCCACTCGCATCCAGGAAAGCCCACACTGCCACTCTAGCAGATAGATGTACACGAAACCAGGGGTCTAATGTGCAATGCGGATGGCATCTCCTCCCACATTAATCTCTGAGGCTAGCACAAAAGGAGGTCTTTTTTTTTGGATGGAAAACCATGGACAAAAAAAAACATGGACATCATGAGCTGAGGTTATTAAAGACCCAGAGAACAACTCCAAACAGCAGGCTGCTCAGAAAGCACCCGGGAAAAATGGATTTTTGTGAGGGCAAAAACAGGCAGTAGGGACAGGAGAACAAACACAGTGACTTCTGAATGGGGCCATTTAGCTGATTTATAAATGATCTCATGAGTGTCCTGGCTGCAGGAGACTGATGCCTCTTCTTTTCTAATGCTGAGTTCAACAGACCAGTTTTCTGGGGAACCAAGGAATCAACTCCAAGGACTCAAAGTCATTATTTTTCAAACATTAATTAACTGGAACTTAATTAAGACTTTTGAAGGTCTCCCCCACACACTGTGAGGGAAACTTTTTTTCTCTTACACCAGCATGGTATAAATGGAGGAGAACAGAACAAAACACTCCTTGGATGTTTTGCATAGAAGCTCAGTGAGTCCTTTGGGGGCTTTGGCTTTCTACTTTATAAACTGAGAGGCCCAAGGAGAAGGAGATAGCTAGAGCTGCTTTCAACAGCCTAACCCTGATGCTCCGAGCTGCCAACCACCTCTTGTTTATCGACAACCTGGGGTCACTCCTAGTGTGCAGACCAGGCTTCTCCCAGCATGCGCCGAGGTTGCCCAGGGCCTTTTCTAGTATGCGGAGTATTCATGCATTTAATCCAAGTGAAATGCACATCAGCCTGATGGCGTGATGGGTCTGGGAGGGTACAGAAGTTGGTGAGTTATTTTAGAAGTCAGGTAAAGAAGGAGGTACATATGTAATTAAACATTTTGGGTTTTTTGACTTAATTTACATAAATATGTTTCATTCACTATCTTTTTTAAAAAGAATATGCTAGTTAGTTTTTTGTTTTTTTGCTAGTTAGTTTTTTATATCACCTTTTTTCAACATATTACACTCAATTTATTATCTTTAAAGCATTTATAAAGCAATGAGTATAAAATGTTTCCTAAATTTCAGGATTTCCTCTGTTCTTTCATATTTGTCTCATCCAAAGAATAAAACTTGGACTTTCTGAAAAAGTTTATGTGAAAAACCCTATCTTTTTGTTATATTAGGGTAAGCTGATCTAATATTCAGTAAAACTGCTAAACATAACAGCAGGTATGACTGGCACACTCAGGTCTGGGATGTGTACAACCACCCGACCTACTACAGAGTTTAGGTCGCAGGTCATAGGCGGAAGCAGGGCCAGGCCACATGAGTGGTGCATCAGTGGTGGCAAGCACACTTTCTGCAGAAGGATGAGTACTGGTGAGGTGGCCACAGGAGAGTTTAAGAAGGGACGAGGACGGGCCAGCTGGAGCTAGGGAAGGAGGCAAAGCCAGAGAGCCAGCTCTGGTGTCAGTAGTACCCACCCAGCCAGCGAGCAGGTAAAACCCTCAGAGTGGAAGAATACATGGGGAGAGAGCATGGGTGGGGAGAGAGGAAGGCAGGCCAGACCCCATGGATGCCAAGCCTGGAGCTGAGGAAAGAAGCTTCTGTAAAGGGGCCCCGGGGACCCAGAAGGTCTCTGTGTAGGGCTGATGTCCAGGACACAAGAGCTATAAAGGCTCCTAGACTTGACAAGTAGGGAGGTGCCAGTGGGTAGGAATCAGGGTGCATTTGTGACTTTGTTGCAAGTAGCAGGCATGCTGTCATCTCCGGAGCCATTAGTCCCTCTTCCTCCAGCTTGTTGACCAGCTCCCACCCAGTTTGCCTACCACCTCCTGGCACCATCGGACACAGGCCTGCCAGGCAGCTGGCCCCAGGGCTCCAGCTCCGCCCCAACTCTGCTGACACAGGTAGCCAGGCGCATCAGCTGCTGTCTGGGAACAGCTCACTTGCTCTAGGCCCAGGAAAGAAATCTACCTGGAGAGAGCTGTGCCACAGGTCAGAACGGCCCCCACCCCAGCCAAACCCACCACAGGGCTTTGCTGCTGCCCACCACACTTCTCAGACACATGAAGACGCCCCCTGTGCACAATGTGGGTATAAATTACAAACAGTAAGGGAAAAGCTGCCCTGCTATAACTCGGACTCCACTCTGCAATGCCCTGGCAAGCAATGAGGAAGCTACTACCAGTGACTCTAGGACTCAGAACTTACCCTGGGTTTAAGCAATGGCTGCTTAAGTGCTGTGGGTTAATGCAGGGCTGCGATATTTGAGCCAACAGTACCACTCCAAACCACTGTTCACCTCAGATCTAATGTTCCACATGCTCCTCCCTCTCCAGGGCTAGTGAGGATTTGTAAATATAACTCTGGGCAGATGAGGGTGAGAACACTTTGGAGTTTCAGAATCAGACACTGGCCAGCTATCTCCTGAACTCCCAGTCTACTGGGAGTAGTCTGCACCTACTGCCATGGAAAGGGATTCAAGGCTGGAACCTGGGCTGAGAATCACATCCCAGACAGTGTCCAGCAATGACCTACTCCAGAATTTGGGTCACAGGGCCACCCACACAAGTGTACCCTCTGCTTGTCACCAGGCCTCTCAAAAACATGGGGGCCTGGAGAGTGTGTGGGAGCATAGCTGTGGCGCGATGGCAGGGAAGGGGACAGAGATGGAGGGCACCATGCTGCCTCTCACCCACCATGGCACCAGGCCCACGTCAAGGTTCTCAGGAAATGCTCACCAACCTGATCCAAGCGGAGCGCACCATCAGCAAAGCGTTGCTGGCGAAGCCGCTTTGCGATCCTGTGCAGGTTCAGAATAGCCTGGTGTACCTCCTCGATGCTGTGCTCTGGGGAGATGGGGGGCAGCTCCTGCTTAGGGATCTTCTTGGTTGGCTGCTCGATCATGCTCTGTGCATGCTCATAGCTCAGTTTGGTGCAGGAGCAGATGATAGTCTGGCCAAACCATTCGTCCAGGATCTGCAAGACAGACAGCTTGTGAGGAAGTTGGGAGGAGACTTTTCCCAGGTGTTTCTTCATCCAGCTATTTATTCACATACGCACAACAAAGATTTATGGAGTGGTGACTGTGTGCTCAGAATGGTGTCACACAGAGGAGTTAGACCTACCAGGCCTTGGGCACTACGGGGCCTGAACAGAGCTCTCTAAGCCCTGGAGGTTTATGGCATCCCTAAGCATAGAGCCAGGCCATGGGTAGGAAGTGATTTCATGCATGTGGGTGAGTGGCCACCAATGTCACAAGTAGGGGAGAGAAGGGGCAGCTCCTGAGACTCTGAGATGTGACAGACAGTGCTGTGTGGACTCCATAATGGCTCAAGGAAGGATAGAGAAGACATGCTCCCTGACAGAGATGGTACAGATGAGGGACAGGGTAGGGCAGAAAGGGAGCGATGCCATCCTGTTTCATAGAGAGGGACAGAATGGGGCTTCTAGATCTCCACATGGTTAGACTAAGTAGTCCCTTGCTGTGGGGAGCTGTGCTTCGAATTCTAAAATGCTGAGCAGCACTGGTTATGGTGGCATGTACTGTAATCCCAATAGTCTAGGAGGCTGAGGCAGGAGGATGGCAAGTATGAGCCCCAACTGGACAACTCAGCAACTTAGTAAGACCCAGTCTAAAAGCAAAAAGTTGAGCAACAACCTTGGTCTCTATAGAACCACTCTAACCTTGAGTTAATGGCCCCAAATGCTCCAGATACTGCTAGATGTCTTCTGGGGAAAAAAGGGCCCAGGCTCAAGGACCTACCCAGTTGGTGGTGGTGCTTACTCAGTGGAGAGGTTACTAATTTTATCTCTTTAATTTTTCAGTATTCTCTATGATATGCCTTCATACTTTAAAAAATTGTAACATTTGAGCTAGATGTGGTGGTACCCGCCCATAATCCCAGCATTCAGGAGGCTGAGGCAGCAGGGTCACTGTGAGTTCAAGGCTAGCTTGGGCTACACATTGAGTTCAAGGCCAGCCTACACTGCGTAGTGAGGTTTTGTTGCAATAACAATACCAACAGCAACAACAACAACAACACAAAGGGCTGAGTGGAAGGCCTAAGAGCCCTCAGAAAACGGTGCTGAGCGACGGCTCCAGCAGCAAAGTCTGACCCAGGGGACCCAGGCCAGTGCCTCTTGGATAGCCCTGAAGACATCCGAAAGCCAGAGAGAACAGGCTGGGCATGGCTGCCAGGGAGAGGCTGAGAGCAGGAAGGATGCACAGTGCACAGAGGGAGCAGCAAGAAGCAAGGGTCCACATGAAGGGGATGCAGAGGAACAACAGGCAGCACATGGCGTGAAAATGCCGCATAGGATGCAACAGCTCATTAATTCCTATTTGGAAACTATGCTCAAATCAGTGCCCAGTCCATAACCAGGGCCAGTGGCAGAGGACAAAAGTACAAAGGGTTTTTTATGGAAAAGAAAAAAATCTGGAGGAGATGCATAAACAGAGCGCTTCCCAAAGAAGATTGGCTCTGCCTCTCCTCTGCTTCATCTGGGACTTAGGTCGCGTCCCTGTGTAGGCTGCTAGTTTGCAGGCTCTGGATACCACTTTTAGGACCCATGATTAGGAAAACAGCTGTCTAGTGAAGTGGCCACCTCCAGACCACTTCTTGGTACCCAGCACGACTGTACACAGTGCAGCACGATCCCCACCCTTACACCCACAGTCGTGGCTGGCTCCCAACCTGCCCAGGGCACTGTTATTCCACCCAGTTTATACCTGTGAAGACAGGTCAGGGACTTCTCAAAATTGCATAAACTCCTAGTAGTATCCAAGACCATCTGAAGATTCAAGCCCCAAATCTAGTGCTACTTTTTCTGAGATTTTTAGCTGAAGCTCATAAAGCAGACAGACTAGATAATGAAGTAAAAGAAAACAAGTGGGGCTGCCTCCCAAGCATGTTGTCTTTCTACAGTTTGTGGATGCAGAAGGTGAGTAAATGCCCCAACAACCTGGCGGATTCTAAGCAAATATTCTAAAATTTATCCTTTGAAAAATGTCAGCACCTCAGTAGGACTCACTGGTTTAAAAAACTATAAATGGACTTAATTTATAATTTTTTTTATTTATTTATTTATTTATTTATTTTATGCATTTAGGGCAGGGTCTACTAAAGTCTGTAGATCAGACTCATAGTCATTCTCCTATTTTTCTGCCACCCAAGCGCTTGGATTATAGATGTGTGCCACCACGTTCAGTCTTAATCACAGTCTCAAGCCCTTTTTTTTTTTTTTTTTTTTTTTTGCAGAACTAGGGATTGAACTCAGGCCCTCGCACTTGCCAGGGAAGCGCTTATTCCACTGAGCCGTCTCCCCGGCCCTAGGTCTTCAATGAAAGGAAACTGATTCTGAGAGATGGCCCTGTCACAACAGTGGGCAGAACTGAGGAGATAGCAGGGGTCCCTGAGCCAGGCCCATTGTGACCCAGGGACTCACAGTTTTCTTAAAGAAAAAGCCATCAGGATATGATGAAGTTGTCAAGAGCAGGACTGATCCCACCGCACTGTATCTGCTGGGGTGGTGTCTCCAGAGGTGGTGGCAGCAACCACCTTGCGGAGCACCTGGCCATGCTGCTTGGCCTCCACAGGGAACCCAGGGCTCCTGCCAGGCAGCCAGGAGGGAGCACGGCAGCCAAGGGCTGTGTGCTGGCAAGCCTGTCTCAATTTCCAAGTTAATGCGCTAGAATTCTCTAAAAGATTTATTTGTACAGAGAAGAATCCTCGCCCACTGAACCGTACATCTTTCTGCTCTGTGAGGCCGTCTGCTCTGGACTCATCTACTGGTCCTAGGCCCACACCCAGGTCCCTTCCTACCCTGACCTGCAAGGAAGGCACAGGGGTAACTTCCCCGAGTGCCGTGGAAGCTGCACTTAGAGGCCTTGGACTTGGCCAGGATGCAGGCATCCCAGTCCTGTGACAGCCGAAGAGAGCCTTGGAAGGGTTTCTTTCCCGAGGACAGCAGGAAGACTCATCCCTCCTCCCTCCCATTTCCCTCCCTCTCTCCTTCTGTCCTTGAGGTACTGGGATTGAATGCAGGTTTCACTCTGGTATCTTCTTGTCAACCCACCTGCCTCAGCCTCCCAAGTGCTGGGATTATACTCAGCTGAAGAAGAAAGTGTGAAGGCTCAGCTTTGGGGAGGAAGCAAGAAAGGAAAGTTCAGGAAGCGGTAGAGGAAGCCTTCTGACCCAGGAAGCACAAAGTCACAGCCAGCCACAGCCAGGGAGATCGCGTCAGCCCAGCCTTTCTTCAAATAGGACCGATGTAGATAGCCATGCAGAAACTGACATCTGGCCCTGTTCTGAAGACACCCAGTGTGACAACTGACAACTACTCTGCCATTTGCTAGGACCTAGACTTCAGGGTTAAGTCAAACCCACTAATAATAATAGGAAAATGTGGGAGAAAAGTTGGTTCAAAGCAAGTTGTATCTCTTTGCATGAATTTTATAAGTACTAAGATTTTGTCTTACTTCTGAGAAAGATTTCATTATGAATCTGGCCTAGTGATACATGCCTGTGATCCCAGCATCCTGGGAGGCTGAGGCAAAGGGTTGCACAGTTCCTTTGTCCCACAGTTGTAACCCCAGGCCTAAAATGAAACACTTTTGCACCCCCTGCCATGGTTGAGATACATGGTATTCTGAGATCCTTTCTTTGTTGCTGAAGCAGTCTTTGAAGCAACTGTGTCCCCTGGAGGTAGCTGGTCGGGCAAGGTTTCTACTACAGTGTTTGAGAATGAAACACAACACCCAGAGCTCTGTTTCCTTACCACTAAGGGAACCCCAGATTACACAACCCATTTCATGGCCTGGCCTTGAGCCTACTGCAGACTTTGAGGCCTCAGCTCAGAGGTGTACAACTGCCTGTGACACCACAGGAAGCCTTCAGTGGCAGGCACAGAGGTCGAGGCACTGGGGACAATGGTAGTCACGAGGGGGCTGATTGTGATATGTTCAGAGGACACTGCACAACAGGGTAAGGGGAGCAGGTTCTGCTCCTAGAAAGACATCTAACACCATGAGAAGCAGAGCAGTGGCTATGAGCAGTGTCTCCCTTAGTCCTCAGGTAAGATGGCGAGGACTTGCACTGGGTGGAGAGATGTCCACAGGACAAGAGCACTGACTGGAGGTGTGCTGACACGTGGAGGCTTGGACAAAGCAGATGTGAAGGTGCCAGGGACTTCAAGTGTGCAGGGCTTAGTGGGTGCTGATGCCTTCAAAGGCCCAGAGAACACAGAGTTTAAGCTTGGGTTGCAGCAGCAACATTTTTACTGCCTGGAGAGAGGGGAAAGGATGAGGAAAAGCAAAGAAGATATTGCGTGGAAAGGGAGACTTCGGGAGATTAAGCTGGCTGCACTGTGGTTTCTAAGAAGGAAAAAGAGAAGTCACCTGGGAGAGTGGTCTTAAAGGAAAGAGGAGTGGGAGGCCGAGTTGAAGGCTGGAACCCAAGAATGAAGGTCTTGATAGTGACCTGAGTCACTATCAAGTGACAAGTTCAAGGGCAGCCTGGGCTACAAAGTGAGCTTAAGGCCAGCCTGAACTACACTAAAACGTTGTCTCAAAAAGATTAAAAAAAAAAAAAAAAGCTGGTGATGAAAATAGGCTGCCTGAGTACAGCACAGGTCCAAACTAAGGCTGGACCACAGCGACAGGGACACTGAGACAGGCAGCACGAGAACAGCCTGCATCAGCTAGGGGCCCTGTCCTCACTCTTCTCATCTTTACAGCTGAATTTCACCAGCTGCCCAGCTGGATCCGCTATATGCTGCCTTTTTAACAGCCTAACACCGGGGTGTCTGCAAAGGCAGCTTCGTATTGCAGGCCCTCTGCCCTGGTCGCGGAGGGCCACCCAGGCAACTCTCCTTGGAGGAGGAGCAGCTGTCTCCATGTTGGCTGAGCCTGACACTATTTCCATGTATTGATATGTATAGAGCTGGCTAGGACTTTTCCTTATCCCTTCAATTGGCTT